CCATTCCTCCTGATACAGGTCCCTTACTTCTTGTAATGAGAGTTTAATTTATTATTTGTTTGTAAAACACTCATTTTAGTGTTGTGATAGTCTGCAATTTCCCTTTAAAGTCTTGGATTTTATTCTTACTGTAACTTGAGTCCCCTGCCCTACAAATTACATTGTAGAAAATCACATTCAATTCTCTTCTTGAGGTGGCCATAGTTGTTTATCATTTATTTCAATCTTTTTCCGGACTTGTTGTCATTTCTCGTATTTAGGTGGACCTTATCAAATGTCTTGAGGCTGGACTGAAGTTGAAGTGTGCTCAGCAGTGTGTAGATGGTCTGACCCTTTGCGTCATGGAAATGCAGGACACCATGGTCAAAATACTGCCCTCTATCATCCTAGAGATGTCCAAGATGTCAGCCACGCCCAATATGGCCATCCCTGTCTTGGAATTCCTGTCAAGTAAATCAGTGAAGATTCATGCCCCCCATTCTTTGAGATTCTTTCTGCCCCCTGGAATTCTTTGTGAACACTTCTAACAAACTAATAGTTGATACTTGTGACATGTTGACCTGTATTGAGAATAGTACGAGTGCCCCAAGGATATTAACCCCAAAGAGAAGATTCTGGAACCAAACAATAGACCGGTAACATTATGAAGTCAGGCTTAATTTACAAGTACACTTTATATGGCACTGATCCATCTAGTCCCCATAAAAAAGTGCAGATATTAACAAAGGTTGATGTCATGTTTTCTGGTGTTATTGTTACACGCTAAGCAATTAAGTTTTGATTTGTTTGCATTCTTATCCATTAAAGGTTTGATCTGGTTTCCTCATCTGTATGCCAGTTTTGTTGAGAATCAGTACATGAGTATCTTTGCTGTGGCTCTGCATTATACCAACCCTTTCAAGTAAGTCATCTACTGAGGTGTCCCGTGTCTCGTGGCCTCTTGCTAATTATAGAACACCAAAGGGAATTTATTCAACCACAATCTATGCCACAATCTTTTCTAATGCCTTGCAAAGAAGTCAAAGGGGCATAGTTTCCACCTTGTCTTTCTCTGTATGTGTGACTTTGCTTCTGAACTCAGTTGACTAAATGAAAAGAAAAGTTGTGATATGTTTTGTTATGATGGACATTTGCTTTGCAAGGTTGAATAAATTCAGCATTGACCTGACATAGCTCATCAAAGTTTTGTAGATTTGAAAGAGGAGGATCATGTCTTTGTTGGCATGGCTGCTCATTAGAAGTCAAGCAAATGACCGCTCATCATTGGTCACTAAGATGACCACTAAGTGGCAGATGATGACATGACCATTCATCAGAGTTGAGGACAGTGAGGGGCTGGTCACAGACTCTAGATGTAATTCAGATATTGCGGCAGTGTTGAGACAAACTGTCATCACAATGCAAATATTTTGTACCTTTATAGTAATTAAGTCTTCATTAGCATCTTGCGTAAAAATGCCATCTTGTTTGACAAAAGTAAACCTTTCAGATTAATAAAACAAATCAACAAGTACCGGTACCTTTTAAAAGAAATACATATATGTGAATTGCTCACGCATAAGATTGCTTTGTCAAGCTGATGAATTTTTAAATGAAACAGATCTGTTTTTTTCCTCAGGTTTTCATTGTATGTGGTTTCACTAGCGCATCATGTCATTGCGATGTGGTTCATCAAGTGCCGTCTTTCATTTCGTAGGGAGTTTGTGAATTGCATTACAAGGGTAAGTGTAGAATCAATTGCTAGATCATTTGCAAAATCCAAAACTCGAAATACCCAACAGTCAAAGTCTTTATCATCTATCATCAAAATTATCCGGCTAGTAAATAGACATATGAAAATGACAGTAGTGCCTTCTAGTGTCTGTCCTGTGAGTTTTTAGGATTTTAACCCAAATAAATAAGTTTGCAGAACTGAGTCTATGTTAGCATTTGCAAATTGAACTGTAAATATTTTCAAGAGGTCAGATTTGCTTCAATTTTGTGTACTGTGCAGATCGATGCATGACACAGGCTGTGATTACCCTAAGAAACTTTTTACACTCTTCCTGCAGTTGTCTAAACCTTTGCATTCATAAGTTCTTTGGTGAAACTTCAATTCAATTGAATAAAGGGTAGGCCATACTTCCAGGCATGTCTGCTTGTGAGTTCAGTGGAGAAAAATAACATTTTTGTCTTTATGTACCTGTGTTAGAAAAATGTATGTTTTGCTAGAAGATTACATCCAATGTTCATAAGATTGTCAAAGTGACACCAAAACATCGTTGTAACACACCTAACATCTCAGCAAGTTGAAAAATAATATGGAAGAAAATGCGAAAGACCATCTGTCCCCTTGGGACAGGTGAAT